CTCTTATACAGTAGCACTTAAATATCTTGAGCCACCTAAGCGCTGAGGATAGACTCTAGATCAGGGTTTCAGGATTGGGGGTAACATACTAAATTTTATCAGTCACAATCATTGAGATGATGTGTGATCATTTAACGTTTTGAGAAATTATATTGATCAATTACATTAATTCTAATTGCATTTGTATCAGTTATACAAACACTGATTTTGACATATAAAAAAATATTTGACATACCCAACATTTTTCGTCTGCAGCCTGTCAGAAGTCTTGATGCTTCTGAATTCAAATTAATATCTGTTTTGCCTGTACAGCATGTTGTTGGCTATATGTCAAAGCCACTCTATGAAACGTGGTCATATGAGCAAGAGCCATTAGTAATGGGTGAAATGAACTGTTGAGTGAAATGACACTTTGAACCAACCAAACCCATTGCTCTGCAAAATGATCCACTGTTTCGAAGCGCTCGAAACACCACATGCTGGTGACGCACGCAACAAAAACTCAGTCCAAACATGCATAAAACACCTTTTGACCAACCAGTTGAAATGTTCTACTGAAAGTGTAATCTATTAATTGACTAAACAGGCCAATAAGAGACTATTACTTACTCTTTACTACTCTTGCGGTCATGGCCGCTTGAGAGCATGTGCACAAAACAGGAAGTAAGTGCACAAGACTGTCCCAGGTCTGAAAAACCCCCGCCAAAGTTCAGTACCCTTAATGCACAGAAGCTAAACGTATCCCATCATGCATCACTTTCAGGAACTCGTGTGCCTTAAGATCTTGAAATGTTGAGGGAAAACATTCCAACAGAAATCCATGATCCCTCATGAACAAATACAGTATAACACCTGACTTTGGCAGTTTGATACTCTGAATCACTGGTTGCAAACAAATGACTCACAAAGGTTTCAAAGCTTCATTAAGCAGTTTTATTTATTATTATTTATTTGTTGCTTAAAAGAACATACAAAATAACAAGTAAACATCAGTACACACTGTGAACACATTCAGGGAGCATGCGGACAGCCCTTTTTGCACATGGGGAGCCTTTGGGGATTCAGTACCTTGCTCACACCTACCTCAGTCATGGGTACTGAAGGTGGAAAGTGCTGGTCATTCAATCCCCACCAGTCAGTACTGAGACTCGAACCCAGGACTTTCAGGTTACAAGTCCGACTATCTAATCATTACACAACCGAAACAAATGCCTATTTAAGCCAAATCTGCCATTTTTGTTCATCAAACAAACCAGACAGGAAAGTAGATTAATGTCGGGGGACTTGAACTTGAAAAATGGTGTGTACTGACATCTTTCTGTGGTTAAAACAAGATTCCTTCTGATGTTCATTCATGTTTATTTTGTGCTATAACTAGTAAAGAGGAAGAGATGATCGGTTCATTTACCGCTTGAACTGAGGTACTACAGTGATCTGTCACGACACATTAAAGAGCCACAAAACGGTATTTATTGTTTGCATTTCTTAAAAAATGAAACTAAAACTAAACAAAACCAGAGGCGGACAGCAACTAAGTACATTTACTTGAGTATTGTACTTAAGTACATTTTTTGAGTGTCTGTACTTTACTTGAGTATTATTTTTTCTGGGAACTTATGACTTTAACTTCACTACATTTGAAAGACAAACATTGTACTTTTCACTCCACTACATTTCTATGAAGGTCCTCGAAGTAGAAAGTCGTTACTATGTAGCAGCTTTGAAAGTCAGTGGGTGATTTTTTTCTTCTCTAAAACGTGACTTTCTTTTTTTCAGACAGTTTATCAGTAATCATTCTTGTGGGGCTACATGAACAGATTTCCCAGCATTTTTTGAACACTGACCAGTTGCAAATGTGATATTTATTTACAACAATTCAATAATAAGAAGTTAATATTGTGGTATATATTAGACACAATATTGTCTGATTTTGCTAAATTGTGTAGGTGAAAATATTACCTATAAAGCCACAGAAGAACTGTTGTGCGTCTCCTAATAAAACACAATAGGTGTTG